CGATTAGTAAATATTGCGAAGTACTACGCCAGTAGAGTTTCGCAAATATTACGATTAGTAAATATTGCGAAGTATTATGCTAAAAACATAAATATTACGTAACCTTACGTCGTAATATTTGCATAAGTTTACAAATCGTAAATCTTACGCAATACTTCGCATTAAAAATATTCCTGATGTAATCAAGCTCATTTTTTCAACAAAAATAATCACAACAAACAATACAAATTTTTTTTTCACAGCGCAAATAGAGATTTTAACTGCCAAGGAGTAAGTCTAATTATTAAAAATGATCTGTGCAGACATATTTTTAACCAGGAATCATTTTATGATAGAATACTATACATTGACCTCTAATTCAGAAAGAAATTCATATTTCATATTATCTAAGTCTACTTACCAGCTACCTATAGAGACAAAAATCCTTTAATTATAGAATACAAATTCAAAACAAGCTTATGGATATCCTAGTATAGAGTCGCAAAAATAATTTTCACGTTATCCTAATGGGAGATTTTAATATTGATATCTAAAAAAATTATTGTTCTAAATGCCAAAGAGTGTTATAAAACTATCTTCGTCAAATCATTGATTTAGGTTTTATTCACACTATTACCTCTTTTTTATCATCATATCTGGTTACTTTTAAATCTACATCAAATTCATATTACTTATATTTAGATTATATATTTCTATCTTCTAACCTTACACACGACCTTTCATCTTTCAACATTCTCAATAATTCATCCTTCTTATACTCCTCTGATTATTTACCCCTTTCTATCACCATTTTCAAAAAAAATTTTTTTAACTAATATTCTACGCATATCTTAAACAACATAAAGTCACAAAGCAAATATTCATGTATCATAAGACTACATTCTTACATTGGGATTTTTTCTCAGACAAGGTTGATCTACTTTTAAAATCAAACCCACTTTATGCAGATTGTACAATTGAGTATATTGCTACTTCTCCAAACTTATTAATTGACGATTCGGATAAGATCGGCACTAATTTACTATAAAAATTTGGGGTAAAAATTCTCTGATTTACTATGGTAACGTGAGTAATACAGGAAAAACCCATTATATTAATACGCAAAAAATTCTGGTAAACCCTCATATTTTTCTACGTAATCTACTGCATGAATATATAAGGAAAATAAATCTATTGAAAAAAATACTTTTTATTGAATAAAAAATGGTCTATACTTGCACGCACGTCAAATTCCTACCTTTCTATACTATAATTAAATTTCTCAATTTATGATATCAAAGTAGTTATGCCAAATATTATTAGATAATAAGTTTATTTATACGTTTCTTAGCATATTTTTTTTATCAAATACTATAATACTTTAGTATTTTTCTTTACTCATAACAATTACTATAACAAAATGCATCTTGGGTTTATTATTCAAAATTTTTGTTTATTTTCTTGAGTTTGGAACCTGAACACTTTGTTTTTAGTAAGAAATTTTCAAATTCTAGCTAGGTAGTATGTTTTGCTTCTTCCATATTTCTTAGAGCCATAGTTTATTTCCATTTGCGTAAAAAAGTTGTAATCCAGTTGGCGATAGTTGACTCTTTTGGAATATCATCTATGCTAATTTTTCCTTCGTGCTTACGGTACAATAATTCATTTCGCATCTCTTGGGCTGACATTTTTGTCTAGGGTTAACTGTTCCTGTATGAAATATACATTCAAGTAGCGCTTTTACTCTAGGTATGATCCTTTTCATTGGCGTTCTTATTTTTTAATTTTCCTTTAGAGCCCATCCTCTATAAAATATTTCATGACTAAAAAAATAACGAAGCATGTTGATAATATTTATAGCTTAGTAAATTATTTACAAAGAGCGATACCTCTTTGATTTTGCAATAGTATCTGATATCTGTGATGGATTAGTTAGATTAATAATTTCTGCACTCTATTTATTAGTTATTATTAATTACAGTATATTACTACCTAAATGAAGCTTCGTATAATCAGAAATTACTTACTGAATTATCATTTTCTTTGATTTCAGTATCATTATCTAACAAATGTCGGATTAGTACAAGGATTTTTAAATTCAAGATAAAACAATAAAACTGTACCTGGTTTTTGGATACTTGATGTTACCCAAAGTCTGTTTGGTTCAGTATGTTGAGTAATCATTAGGTTTAGTTTGACGAAAATTCATTCTTTGGCAATTTTTTGTATTTTATTAGGCGAAAATTTGTTCTACAGTCCAAATCTAGGTAGAGCTCTTCCATAAATATATCCTATATCATCAGTTTCGTTTGGCCAAGCCTATTCTGCCCAATTTGTAATTTCTTGTATAGTACTTAATGCACTTCTTTGTTCTATTTATAAATAAAGTATATAATTATTTTTTTTGAATTTTTGATTATATAGTAAATCAAATCACGAACTATGAGAACGGTTAGGTTGAATGTGTGCTACATGTGTATCTGCTAGATCTTTGATTGCATCTTCTATATTTTCACCAGAAGTAATATTGTACCCTAATTTTACATATCTTTTGATCGTGTGAGTTATCTGAAGCAATTTGGTAAATATGTTATAATTTTTTCAAAATTTTAAGTATCGCGCACATTTTACATTTATTACCTGAGCATGATGAGAGTCTATCATTATTTTTACCTCACCCACTTCCAAAAATATCTAATTTCTTACACTAATGCTATACCACTCCTTTCAGTACGATAAAATAATCATCAATTCAGTATTGTGATAATGAGGCCCATTATCAGAGATTATAGTAATCTATGATGGTTTCCTTTCAAGAGTTTTATTACGCTATGTAGTGAAGAAGTAGTAAACCAAGCTCTTGTTTTGTGTCATCTGACCAATGATCAAATGCCTGAACGTTTAAATCATGTGATTCAGAATTTTTAGTATAAACAAGTATTGAATAAAGATTTCAGCCACGTTTACCAAAAAATTCAGATTTTGTCTCCTTTGCACTTTTGGAAAAGATTCTCATCTTATAATCCACAATTAACAAGGCACCATCTGAATCAAGTTGAAGAAGATTTGAATTTAATTGAGCATTGAGGTATGTTTTTTGGGCATGATGTGACATAAAGGATATTAGTTGTTTTGATATTCTTCAAGAGTTCGATAATGCATTATGCCCAGATTATTTCGCAATTTCTCAAAAAATTCAAATAAATTTTCACAATTTTGGCAGATATTCGGATGATCTTGATTACAATCACTAAATGCATGTCGAAGACAGTGGCTTATACAAGGAACATAAATTGTATCACCCATATCATCAATTTGTAAATTTTTGGCAAAATTTTTGCAAAGGTATCGCCTTAAGATTTGTGATTCATTTGTTAATTCCTTCTGTTTTTATTATTTATATAAATATATTAGTAAATGCTGAATTAATTTTATATAATAAAAATAAATAAATAATTAACTTACCCGAATACCTGGATCTGTAATGTGCATTTCAATAATTTTTTCAATTTCAGAAAAAACCAGATAATCACATTTGTTACATATCATACATAAATCTCTAAGATCTTCTTTATATTGGAATTACCCTCCTTCTAAATGTGTCATAAATGATATATGTTGCATATCATCAGGATATTGCTGACAAAATTTTTTCTATAGTGCATATTTGTGATCTTGAAGATATAATACAGGTAATCCACTTTTATTGTCAGTTTTATATGAGCTCATATTTACATTTTTTTTATCTGCAAAGAATAATTCAAATTGATTTAGCATCTCTTCTTTTAGCTTGACACGATGAATAATTGGTTTTATTAATGGAGGTGCACCATAGCCAATAACTTGTGCATGTTTTTTAGATTCAGAAATAGTATGTCTTCCAACCTTTTAATATATAAATTGATAATTAATTTTACACGTACAACTAGCACATTCAAAATTTTCTATTATTGTACTTACATTCAAATTTGTTTCCAATTCTGAATAGGTAAATTCATCCGCAATAATTGATAAAACTTTACACTTACCATCACAATTTTGCTTATTATCATCTAATGCACATCTAAAAGAATCCTAAAAAGATTTTGTTTTGTTGGCTATATGAATTGGAGTGCTAGTAAGAAAACCTATTTTGCTGAATTGTTGAAGTGTGGCATGATCTTGTTCAGGTTGGGGTAATCTAGACCAGAATTAATACTGATAAAAATTGTGTTAATTTTTTCGTCAATATTATTTATATAATAATATATGGAAGGAAAGACAAAAAGGGCAAAAAAAGACAAAAAGGAAGAGATAAAAAGAAAGACTGAATGAAAAAAGGGATAAAAGGGAAGGAATAAAAGGATGGAATAAAAGGATTAAGGCGGATATGTTATCTCTGATTCATTATTTGACCAAGGAGTTACATCATGACTATCAATATCTCGAAGCATAGATTGCCACGCTCTTAACTCTTGACTACTGAATTGATAATTTTTGGATATAAAATTTGTAGTTGTGAATATAATTCAATGATCGGGCTTTTTTGTTTAAACCAATTAAGGAAAAACTGATGCCAATTGATGTTAGCTATTGTCTTCCATTTTAAATGATAATCATAAAGTGGTTTCATAATAGAATAGTCATTCCAATTTTTGGAAAAATACTTAGATAATTTTATGGTTTTATGCTGATGAATAAGAGTTTGGACAAGAGAATTTTCAAGGCTAAAGAGTTGATTTCCGTTGTATTTTTTCATCTGATCTGACATTTTCCATACAGCAATTGGTGTTTCACTTCAAATTTTTTTTTCATTTGGTTATCCTGATAAATTTCAAGAACACATTATCTTCCTCAATTTTAGACACATAAATTGCTTGTTTATCGCCATTAAATTTGTGCATGAAAAATGATTTGTTTTCAGGACCAGCGTTAAGCCAATTTACTTGAGAAGAAACTCCTATTCTATATACGAATATTTTTAGTAAATCAACAAAAATTGAAACAGGAACAAATAAAATATCCTTTAAAAGTTGATAAATAATATTTTTATCTTGCCATCCTAATACTAAAGGACCTGAAAATCGTGTTTTATTTTCAAAAATTTGTGCATATATTAAAATAATTGCTTTAGAAGGATCATTTTCTATTTGACTAATATATGTATCGCTTTGACATAAATACTCAGGAGCTGCAATATCATTTTTATTACCAACAACAATAGTTACAAAAAAATCGTGATTATTAAGGCAGGTTTTGGTTTTTTGACCAATACGAAGGGGAAAGAAAGAGACATTTTCTTTGTCTGTTGATATTTTCCACCAACAATGAGAATATGGCCTATATTGAAATTCTTCAACTACAGAACCAAGATCTATTAAACTAACTGTAATTAAGTAGTGTTTTAGCATAAAGACTAGTTACGCATGTCAGATTCAGAAAAGCAATATACGCTATAATGTTAATTATCCCCAAAATTTATTATTACATATATAGTCATATGGTGCTGATCTTATCCAGATCGTCAATTAAACGCCGCATAGAAATTTTTTTCTTATACTGTCATTACATCTGCCAAAAAATATATCCCAAAACAAACAACTACTCATCAACACAAATCATTATATACTCATGCTAACTCCTCTATTCATAAACATATCAAGTCACTCTATAAATATTATTACAAATTGAAAATATCCCTTGATATTAATCTTAACAACAACCCTTCAATTTTTTCGCTTATAAGTACTGAACACCAGAACTTTTTAAAGATAGCTAGACAATATTTATTGTCAACCGCTTTAATTAATAACTATTTTGACAATAAGAAGGTAATTCTGTATATGAATGAACTAAAACATGATATCATCAAGCCCATTCAAGCAAAATAACAGATCGTATCTAGAAAAGAAAACAATAAACGTATACTATAATTTCTCAAACAAAGAAATGATAACTTGAAAGATGCTCCAACTAAAATGATTAATTCATATCTAGAAAGAGACAGAAAAGCCATCATAATAGATCGTCTTCTAATCAATAAAGATTCTACTGACTAATATTTAGAATTATTACTAGATAATATCAAGAAACATATGGCCAACCATTTTCAAACAGTAGCAGACTTTCATAACAGAAAAGTAACTGATAACATGACCTCTAATTTCAATCCCAACTGGAATGTTTGGCAACCGTTTTATAATCCAATTGAGAATATTGATAATAACATCTATAATACATTAATAACAATTCGTTTAATTAATAAATGGCATAATATCATTCAACACCTTTCTGATCACAAAGCTGCTGGTCCCTCACAGATTTCTAATAAAATGTTAAAAAAGCTTAGCCTTAAAATGAAAAACTTCTATATAATATTATTTGTGATTATTTGATTAGCTCTTATACACCCTCTCAATGGAATTTAGCATACATATATTCTATCCCTAAACCAAAATTATAGAACTGTAAACTCGATAATACCAGACCAATCACCCTATTAGATACTGTCAGAAAAGCATTTGTCAAACTTTAAATCAACATTTATAAGATATATTTATCAAATATAATATTATCAAAGGTCTTAATTTCGCAGGTCTATCTCATCAATCAACCCTCAAACTACTTCATATTGTTAATAATATTCTTGAATTTCATCGCTTTAACAAAAAATTAGAACATTATAATCAAAACCATTTATATTTGCTCTTTCAAGATATGCCTAAAGCTTATAATCGTGTTAATATTTTTATGCTCAGGAAAGCTATGGCATGTTTGCGTATCCCTTTCTCTTTTATTAATATAATTACTAATCTCTTTCTTAATAGAAGTAATTCAGTCTTCATAGTATATGGTAATACTGATTCTTATAACATAATAGTTGGCATTGACCAAAGCGAAATGATATTCCACTTTTATAAGTTATTTATTATGATTCTCTACTATCAAGAATTCAACAACTAAATTATGGATATAACATGAGTATTAAATGGAACTAAATATAACTGAAAATGAACTTAATGAAGTGTCTGTCTCAATCCCTAATTCAGCATATATGGATGATACGATTTGGATTTCTAATAGCGTTGAAAACTCACATTGATTTTTGACTTAGCTCAATCTTTTTCGACCTCAACTTTATGAAAGTGAACTATGATAAATCTTTTATCATTACATCTGAATCCACAACAGTTAACATTTCTATTTATAGTAATTACCTCAACACACATGTTATTTTTCTAACAAGAAAGCCTTCTGAATCAACAAGATATCTGGGTGTTTGGATATCTGCCTCTTATAATAAAATTTTATTAAACAATAACTGGCAAATGGGATATCTGATTTTATACTTAAATTGAAATACAAACCTTTAACTGATAAACAACTCAAATATATCTATAACATAGTTTTTATTTCCTAACTAGAATACAGAGCTAAACTTATAGTACTTTCCAATAATGAATGTAGTTCACTTTTTACTAAGCTCAGATCATTCATAAAAAATAAACTTTGCTTTCCAAAATCAACACCTAACAGCATTCTATCTAACAGCCTTTTCTTTGAATTTAATGACTTGTCTAACCTTATGATTCAATCTAAACTACAACATTTGCCATCATGATCAATAGAAATCCTAAAATCTCACTGTTCATTATGACTACTAATATTAGACTGAAACAGCTCCAAGAATATTAATAGCTACATGATGATCCTTTAATATGTTGGCCTTGACAACTTAACAATATCAACATGATAACTTCATAGGAAACGTCATTTCTCTGTATTTACAAAGTTCATTTTCTTTTCACAGAACAACAAACAGTTCAACGATATTTAAAATTAAAGGAGGAAATATCCCGCTTTAATCACTCTTACCTTGGAGGAAAAATTGGAATAACTTATTTAGAACCAAACAGTTACTATCTCTAGACTAATTAACCAGTGATGGTCATTTCTTGATAGAATTGAAGGACCTTTCTCTCAAACAAAATATGGGTAATTTCCTTGAAAACACAAATCTTAAATGGTTTACGCTCCTATAACATTTGGTGCTTAATAATCCTGTACACTCAAACAGATTCATGAACTGATATATCATAGATAATTTTAGTCTAACAGGATACAAATCATTTTCTCCATTAGATTCAACCTTAATGGTCGACTGGATGTCACTATGGACCCCTCTAAATTTTAATTACTACAATTTACTTTACCCTGGTCAAACTATATTCAGAAAATCATACAAGAATAAAAAATTACAAGACAAAATTATATTCTAACATTATATACCAAAAAACTATACCAATGATCTTAGATCACCATCTAAAAAACAAAATACTTTTATCAAATGCTCCAGTTGCCCTTTCAATATTGATTATAGTACTACCTGCTTTTACACGTCCAGATCAATTAAATGTGGAAATCTCATTGAAATAGACCTACCTCAAATCATTAGTGTTACCTATT